AGTAATCGGCATATATCTGAAGGTAAAAAACACTGCCACCAAATTGAAAAAAACATTCCCTATCTTGATCAGAGGGGAGAGGATACCTGGCAATAGAAAAACTTTTGTAGAATGGTCTCATGTATAATTACATAGGTGTGCACACAAAAAAGCATGGATTCTGTTAAACATTACCATGCTCCATTTTGGAAAAACAGGTCTCCATCTGTCCTGGGAGAGGCACTCAGACAGGTTCAGTAACACCTGCAATCTATCTGAAGTGGTAAATTGTGTTAATTGCTTATCCTGAAACACCCGTGGGAGAGGGAATCTAATACAAAGCCAAAAGCAGTATGTTTCCTTATCTACTTCATTAAAAAAACAAAAACAAAAATAAAAACCCCTGAAATAGAAAATCCACAGTAGGCAATAGTTACTTACCCAGTACAACAGTGCAAATGGGCAGTGTTACATTTCAGCGCAAAACAGACTTTAGATCATTTGTATATATTAAATCTACCAATGCTGTGTATAAATAATTGGGGTTATCTAATACTACCAACCTGCATACAGATTATATGAATCACATACATTGTGGATGTTGTGGGGATATTTATGGGATGATAATATTATGCAGTTGAGAATTGCCCAATATTTCAATTTGCTTAGATCTTAGAGATCGTTATCATATAAGTGAAATGTATTCCATACAAATAAAAATCACAATTTGTTATAAAAATAGATATAATTTATTGTGACAAATAAAATAATAATATTAGGCAGCATGCATGATATTAATCAGTGAATATTTAGTATATTATGCAGTATATTTAGTATGCAATATAATGGCTAGACACAGTACAAAGCTACAGCATCAACTGTCAAGACTAAATTAATGCGTACTTCACAGTACAAAGAAAGCAAAACTTCACACAGCCCAGCCATGAAACCCTGGCTAACAGTTAAATCAACTGAGTAACCCTTTCAATGCTGGCTAGATCCTCCTAGGCATCTAGTATCCTATTCTCATGTAATTTTCAATTAAAATAACATTCGAACCAGCTCATTAATCATTTCCTGGAACCATCCAATAAGAATAATCTACCAGATTTTTACAAAAGCCGAATTTTAATTTGCTTAAAAAGATATCTTTTTCCTCATAGAGGATGTGTCTTATATCATTCACATATATTGTGTTTCCACTAATACATCAAGCATATAGTGAACAGATACACTAAAGCAATGTCTCCACACCACCTTACATATAGAGCATGTAGAGGACATATACTGAGGCTGTGTTTTCACAGCAACTCAGAGCATATAAAGAACACACACTGAGGCCGAGTCTCCCGATCAACTCATACATAGACAATATAGTGGATATATATATATATATATATATATATATATATACTGAGGCTGTGTCCTCATAGTAACTCATGCACAGAGCAGTATATTCTTCCACTGTCTGCAAAAGCCTGCTTATTTGTGATAATGCACAGATAACAGCAATCAATGCCACATACCTTGATAGAAACAAGTGTGTGTGTGTGGACTTAGAGTTAGGTTTTTAAAACCTGTCATATACATGTGTGTACTTGTACTTGTAAGAAAGTTCTCTTACCTTGGATATTTCTCTGTCTTCAGGACTGTGGAATTCCAGCAGACTTTATACAGCCAGGATATCCATTATTAGCACTCTTTTTCACAATGCCTCATTGCATTATCAGCACTCTTTTGCACCAAACATCCTAGTATAAACGTACCTAAATGCTCACCACACAAATCTCCTAAATGTGCCCTATTTGTTAGAAGGAAGCCTAATGTAAGCAGGGGGGAATGAAAGAACAGAGACCCAGGTGCCTATACTAGTTTTAACCTAAATTACTAATGCACTTACCTGAACCATTGCAGGCCTGTGTTTCAGCGGCAAAATGGAGATTTGAACAACAGACAGCCTAAACTGTTTAAACTATAGGCTTCCATCTGTACCCCATATGACGTTCATCATCACCATACAAGGTGGAATACATAGAATAGGTAAACCCCAGTAGTCACCTATGGAAGTGCTGTTTACTGGGTCTTCAAGGATAAAGGATTAGACTCGGCTGGGCCTCATGTATGCAGTGGACCACTGTCATCCCCTCAGGGAGAGAGATAGGTTAGACTCCTGATTGCTGAAGGAGGTACCCAGGCTGGCAACTCTTACACATGTGCTGTTTGCTGGGTCTTCAGGGATAAAGACTTAGACTCAACTGGGTCTCAAGTATGCAGTGGACTACTGTCATCACTTCCGAGAGAGAGATAGGACAGACCCCTGTTTGCTGAAGCAGGAACCCAGGCTGGCAACTCTTACCGATATGCTGTTTGCTGGGTCTTCAGGGATAAGAGGCTGAACCCTGGCCTGGCTTCATGTAGGCAGTATATCACATACATCCCCTGAGGGGGTACCCAAGCTGGCCTGTTGCTGGGTCTTCAGGGATAAGAGGCTCTACCCTGGTATGCAGTGGACCATTTTCATCCCTTGATCTGACCCCTGGTCACTAAAGGTGGTACCCAGACTAGCCACTTTCATCTTAGTGCATTTGCTGGGTCTTTAGGGCTTAGAGGCTGAACCCTGGCAGGGCCTAAACATATTGCCTGGTGAGCAAAAAAGAAAAAATCTAGCCCTGCATAAGCAGACTCCTTCCAAATTGCTGTGAAGGACAGGAAAAAAGATTGCCTGATGGGAAGGAGGAGGATCTATTTAAACCAGTTTCAAAGTTCTATTTCCTGTCCTTTCTGCTGTGGTGGGAGGAGCTAACCCATGAGTAAATGCTGCCATGAATAATGGTCAGAAAATAAAATGTTTTAATTATTTTTATTTATATATAGGTATATATAGTGATATATGTATATACTTATGTATATAGATATATTATTTCGTTCTACGTGTATTTTGATATCAATATATATATATATATACCGTATATACTCGAGTATAAGCCGAGTTTTTCAGCACATTATTTGTGCTGAAAAACCCCAACTCGGCTTATACTCGAGTCACTGTCTGTATTATGGCAATTTACATTGCCATAATACAGACTGGGGGCTGGCAGCGAGCGCTTACCTCTCCTGCAGCTCTCTCCTCCTCCGCGCCGGTCCGGTCAGCACCTCGGTCAGCTCCCAGTGTAAGTCTCGCGAGAGCCGCGGGGTCATAGTGCGGCTCTCGCGAGACTTACAGTGTGAGCTGAGAGAAGAGCTGCACGGGCCGGCGCGGAGGAGGAGAGAGCTGACAGGAGCTGCAGGACAGGTAAGCACTCACTGCCAGTCCCCCTCCTCCCCCCACTGAACTGCCAATGCCACTGGACCACCAGGGAAGGAGAGCCCCCCTCCCTGCCATGTATCACGCAGGGAGGGGGGACGAAAAAATAAATAAATAATAAAATAATATTAAAAATAATAATAATAAAAAAAGTAATAATATAACAAAAAAAATTAAAATAATATTTTTTTTTTTTTTATAAAAATGCCCACCCCCCACCAAGGCTCTGCAACACAAACACACACTGCATTCATACACACACACTGCACTCATACACACACCGCATTCATACACACACACTGCATTCATACACACACACTGCACTCATACACGCGCACTCATACACATACTGCATTCATACACACACTGTAAATAAATATTCAATTAATATAATTTTTTTAGGATCTAATTTTATTTAGAAATTTACCAGTAGCTGCTGCATTTCCCACCCTAGTCTTATACTCGAGTCAATACGTTTTCCCAGTTTTTTGGGGTAAAATTAGGGGCCTCGGCTTTTACTCGAGTATATACGGTATATATATATATATATATATAAATATATATATATATATATATATATAAATATATATATATATATATATATATATAAATATATATATATATAGATAGATAGATAGATAGATAGATAGATAGATAGATAGATAGATAGATAGATAGATAGATAGATAGATAGAAAAATATGAAAAGCACTCTAGGGACTTCATATATGGTAAAAAAACAAAACAAATTAGCTTTATTCAGCAACTGCCAAAAGTGATCAACGTTTCAGTCCCATGTTGGGACTTTCGTCAGGATCCTGACGAAAGTCCCGACATGGGACTGAAACGTTGATCACTTTTGGCAGTTGCTGAATAAAGCTAAGTTGATTTTTTTTCACCATATATGAAGTCCCTAGAGTGCTTTTCATATTTTTCTATCTATTATTTGTGCCGACAAGCACCGGGCCATACATACTTCTTTACAGGAGTGCAAGCATTGGACAATATTTTATATATATATATATATATATTAACAATACACAAAAAATAGGTGGAGCAAGTGATAATAATAGTAAAATGTACTTCCCTCTCTTCTACCTTTCTTGCTGTAAAAGATAGAGAGGTACAAGATAGTGCAGATATTTCTTATACACAGAATATATAAAAAAAACAAATCTTATGCACTCACAATGGAAGAGCCATAGATTAAAACCTGGCTCTGGTGTGAATCTCCTCTGGGATCTTAATAGGGTGATCCCCAAACCTCTTTAATGGTGCTTGTTGAAGTGTAACTTCTTTTTCTTTTTCTTTCAATACCAGGCAATGGAGATAAAATATATTCCAGAGAAAAAATATTTATTTGAAAAAAAAAAAAATTAATAAAATCAATATAAATAATATAAATATAAAGGGTAAGACCTCCCAGTGTCCAGTAAGCTTGCCAAAACGCGTTTCGCCGGTATGTGGCTTCCTCAGTTGGCATAAGGTGGTAATGTTCTCTAAGTTCTTTAAATATTTAAAAATCGCGGGTAATTTTCCTCCGGTGGAACGCATCTATGCGTTCCACCGCCTCCTTCCGGTTTCCGGAATGTCTCCGTCACTTCCGGTTTCGCCGAAAATACAAAGCGTTTGATGGAACGCATCGACTTCTTCCTAATTCCGGAGGAATTACATCATCTCCGGTTTGGTCGGGCTGTGTGTAAAGAGGCATCCGGAGGAATTACATCATCTCCGGTTTGGTCGGGCTGTGTGTAAAGAGGCATCCTCTTTACACACAGCCCGACCAAACCGGAGATGATGTAATTCCTCCGGAATTAGGAAGAAGTCGATGCGTTCCATCAAACGCTTTGTATTTTCGGCGAAACCGGAAGTGACGGAGACATTCCGGAAACCGGAAGGAGGCGGTGGAACGCATAGATGCGTTCCACCGGAAGAAAATTACCCCCGATTTTTAAATATTTAAAGAACTTAGAGAACATTACCACCTTATGCCAACTGAGGAAGCCACATACCGGCGAAACACGTTTTGGCAAGCTTACTGGACACTGGGAGGTCTTACCCTTTATATTTATATTATTTATATTGATTTTATTAATTTTTTTTTTTTTTAAATAAATATTTTTTCTCTGGAATATATTTGATCTCCATTGCCTGGTATTGAAAGAAAAAGAAAAAGAAGTTACACTTCAACAAGCACCATTAAAGAGGTTTGGGGATCACCCTATTAAGATCCCAGAGGAGATTCACACCAGAGCCAGGTTTTAATCTATGGCTCTTCCATTGTGAGTGCATCAGATTTGGTTTTTTATATATTCTGTGTATAAGAAATATCTGCACTATCTTGTACCTCTCTATCTTGTACAGCAAGAAAGGTAGAAGAGAGGGAAGTACATTTTACTATTATTATCACTTGCTCCACCTATTTTTTGTGTATTATATGTCATTTTATGTGAAGGTGTAGGGGATACCTCACTGGTGTTGAGAGCAATTTTATCACTTCTGTAGACATACCTGTTTGTATCATTTCACTATATTAACAATACAGTTAGAACGAAATTACACATATATATATATATACACACACAATTTGGAATTTTTTTATGTATTTACATATTTACATATTTATTTATTTTATATTAATAATTACAATTATATATATTTCATCAATATCATTCTATGTGTATTTTGATATTGATATATATATATATATATATATATATATATATAAATATTAAAATACACTTAGACAGTGTATGTGTATGTACGTGTATGTATTTATACTTAGATCATATATATATTTGTGTTCGGGGAAATAGCCGTATATGGAGTAAGGTTCCAGCATAAGTGTAGTATAGTATAAAGGGAGCAAGTCGGTTGTGGTGTGCCGAGACCGACGATACGGTAGGCCTGTAAATTTAGAGGGCAAAAAGAATAATCAAAGATTTAATACAGTCAACAATATATACAAAAAAAAAACAGACATTTTCTTAAATGCATTACGGTATTTAATTCCTTGAAGGATTTTGAAGGTAGGAATCTAGGACCGCAACTGGACACCATTTGTTGTGGGTAGGATAGTATGTTCTCTACTGTTGGTGCGTGTTGACTTGTTTCGGAATGTGGTAGGGCCAATAGGTAATGATATATGTGTTTACATACGTGGGATCGTTGAAGACAATGATCTGTCTGAGTGGTGGTTATGGTAGTGGATTCTCTGGCCTGAGAAAGGCATAAAAGGCAGTGTGCATGGCTGGTAATGGCCGACTTGGTAGTATAATTGAATGGTTGTAGCTCTAAGAGGTCCGATAAGGATGGAAAAGTTGGATGGCTATTGGTAATCTCTGAGAGGAACGTGGGGGGATGGTATAGTATATTCTTGTCTGGTATGATAGCATGAAATTATGGTAGTTTTTGCCATAGGTTATCCTGTGTTGTTGAATGCCTGTAAAATATATAATTAATGGTGTGTGAGATGGTTTTAGTTTAAGGTGGCAAAAAATGAAGCAAAACCTAGCAGAAATGTTTTGACACAGGTTGAGCTATGTCGAGTGCCAATGAGATTCTTTAAAGCCAGGTGAATAGCTGTGTTATGCGTTCTACAAGTATGGGATGAAAGTGCTAGGTGGGATAGTGCATGCTATGCTGCATGAGTATGTCTAATCCATGATTTTGTCTCTGGAATGAAAGAGTGGCCGTGACTGTATGGGCGGCTGTAGGAAGCGTATGATGAACATGCCTGGAATATAAATGAGACAATTGTTGGCAGGGATGTATACCAGGGATGTGGCCAACCAAGTGAGTTCCCCAGCAACACCATGATCGTATGGATGATGAGTGGCATTTGTTGATGATATGACATGTGCTTAGTTGTCTGAGTAACAACGGATTGATGACCCTGACCATGATTTACCCCATGCCACAGCAGCTGCTTTTAGCAGAGAAAGGATTGCCCATTTTATGCCATGTTAGTGCCAGTTTGTAGGGTAGATGGTAGCCGTTTACTGTGTTGATGATATTGGTCTTACTTAACGAAGCTTCAACCCATGCTTGAGTGATAGCTGTAAAGGTAGATCAATGGTATGTATAGTAAGGAAACTCCTCGGAGGGTATGTGGGAGTTGAGACTTGGGGTAGCGAAGGTGTGTGGTGCCATTAAGTCTGTGGTTAGTCTTTGTTTAAGGCAAGATTCCCTTGTGACAATACAAATGTGTTTGGTGCCATACTGTAAATGGTGGAGATTGGGGAACCCAAGTAAAAACCCCTCAGCAAATCTTGGCTATGAGTGTGTTTACAGCCGACGGTTCTGTTGTGCTGACTGTAAGTGAGGGCATGCTATATTCCTTGAGGGTTTGTTTATGATACCTGTATGGGAGCCCTTTGAAGCTCCAGAGCCTTAGTAGATCTACTACAAGTCTGGAAGGGTGATGAGTCAGTAGTGTTGAAAATGCATTGGTGTGTATGTTATTTGTAAGTTGTATTGGGACACATGGTTTGTCATGTGCCCTGAATGATTTGAACATATATGCAACAGTCTATATGCAATGCAACTACTAATACCAATTGTCTCTGGTAGTTCAGAGGTGCAGGTACCTGGAGCCTGAGAGTGTTCGTCCGTTTATTTGGGAGAAAATCCCTTCTGTATGGGTACCTGCACAAATAAGCAGCTCTACATATTCCAAATGCCAACACAACTAAGGGATGGTCAGTTCCCGATTTACCTAGAATCCCTGGGTCTGACCATCATAGATACATCATCATACATATATATGCCTTGTTTCCCCAATGTGCCGGGATCATATGTGCAGGGTTAACGTCTTGTACCAAGAATTGATTGTACCAGGTAACCGAGTTTCGGTTGGTGCTGGTTGTACAGTAGCGTGAGGCCCAGCCTTGTGAGGGCTGTGACCGACTCGAGATTGCCAGTCTGTCATAAATTTTTTGGCTCATGAGTTTATGAGTGAGCCTAGCATGGCCTGGGTGTCACCTGAGTTGGTGTTGCTGGGCCTTCCCCTGCCTCCGTGTTGTCCGTTGATGTATGGAGGAGTTTGAATAACTCTGCTTTCCTTGCTGTGGCAGGGTAGGGGATTTGTCGCCTCCTTAGGTCGGAGCCACATCTCCTCTGCTTGAAGGTGTATCACTTCTAGCCGGGGTGCCAGGAAGAGGTGATTCTTCACCATCTTTTTGAGAAATACTTAAATAACAATAAAGATTGCAATTATTATTTGTACCCAGGGGTCTTGTACTGGCTTGCTAGCTAAGCCGTAAGGCGAAACGATTAGGCTTGGTGTTTTTTGGTGACTGGTGAGGCCCTGCTAGTTGCCAAGTGGCTTGAGAGGCTCTATCTATGCTTGGCGCGAGGGGATTTTTTGTGGCCACCAAACGTTGTGGCAGGATGTTGGCCTCTCGGTGACAGTAACCAGAAAAATAGGAAGGGGAGTGACAGGTGAGGCCCTCTCTATGATACAATGCGAGGCGGCTAGCTCACGGTGGCCCGAGGGGTGTATGCCTCCGAGTGTGAGGCGGGGTGTTGGCCTCGCGGGACCACTAACCGAAGCATAATGCAGAGAAAAAAGGGGGTAATACCTTTTGGGCCCTAGAATCCTAATTGCCAGTACACTATTACTATTCCAGGGAAGGTAAGAGATGGATAACTACGTGAGCAGGTGTACGTACCTGGTAGTATGATATTGAACCTGACAATCCGTATAGGTTTTTTAGTAGTAACTGTAACCTGAATGGATAAAATCGTATGGCATAAGGAAATATGGCATAGACCAAGCTTATCTTAAAACATACAGTATATGTGCAAGTAAAGTGCCGTGATATGTAAATATTAAACATCATATCCATACTGGTTAAATATGTATAAATCTTAACCCATTAAGTGCTGTATGTATGTGAACCATATTACCAGTTACGTATATACAGATGCGTGTGCTACTGTGTAATAATATGTGTATTTATAACAGATGTTGATATACTGCTTGCTATGTGAATTGTTGTATGCCTTATTGAATGGTCAGTGAACATGGTGTTGCAAAAAGCAAGTGCACTGGAGATCTGCCGAGTGCCCTATAGGTGGCAGTGTAGTTGATACTGATTGGTATGTGAAATGTTGTTGGCCTATAGGGGTCAGTGTTTTGGTGTTTGTAAAACCCCATAAAAATTGTCAGTGTACTTGACAGACCTGTAGGTGGCAGTGTTGATAGAACCACTGTTAGTCTTGATGTGAAATGTAAATTATTGTGAATTAAACCTGAAGTTGAGCCTGTGTTGGAGTTTAATTTATGGTTATGTTTAAAATAATCTTATGTGTAATTTATATTGGCTGGTAATTGTATATGACATGTGAAGACAGTTTTGCTGTTGACCAGTAGGGGTCAGAAATGCTGATTGTATGGTAAAATACCATTTAACCCCTGAAGGATACATGACATGTGTGACATATCATGATTCCCTTTTATTCCAGAGTTTGGTCCTTAAGGGGTTAATCCAAATGCAAGGTTAACATGAGATTTTGAGAGTGACCTGTAGGGGTCAGTGTGGTTTATGTGAAACATTGTTCGTGAGCTATGCCCCAGCATTATAGTTGTATGACAGGGAAACAAATAAGTGAACATAATAGCTTAATAACAGTCATTGTAACAAACCAAAGTTCTGTTCGTGGGTTGTAAACGCACGAAACGTGTGTGTAGTACAATAGTAAATGCATGAACTAGTTCCCGTTTGGTAGAAAATTGCACGAACCGTGAGCCTGGTATGTCAGGGAAACAAGCCGAAACGAGCAGTGAGATTCGAAATGCATG